GCTCTCAGGCTCTAAGGTCAAATCGCCTTTAGGGATTCAATCAAATCAGAGATAAGATAGGGATGACATTTCTAATCTTTGTTGCACAGGCACAGAATTTCTTAGTTTCGGACACAGGAAGCTTCATTTTCAGTATGACTGAAGTGACAGAGCCAAAAAAACAAAAACAAACAAGAACGGTGTTACCTGATGTTTGGTGCATCCATACCAGCCAGAACTCTCAGCTTTAAGAGCCACCATTGACAAGGGTGGAATAAAGGAATTCTAGACTGTACTTTCGACCTCAGACTGAAGAACGAAAGATTTCTAAACGTAAATAACGAACTTCACTCTTTTGTGTTTACTTTTGAGGTAAAAAACAACAGAAAGTGTTCCATTGCAGGCTCTGAGAAACTTCTGACTGATTAAAAGCGGCAGTGCAGTCTACTCAGACCAGTCCTGAGAATGGTTATTAAAACAAACAAAACTGCAATTAAGGATAAGTCCTGTCAAACCTCCCCTGCCTACTCCCAGCAGCGCAAAGCGCCCAGAATCACTGGTAGCAGAACTAGTGCTGTTCCCACTAGCACCATGATGCAGAGAAACTACGTCCCAGCCGGCCACATACAATGGACCATTGTTTTTGATGGGTTAAATGCAATAAGGAACAGGACTGTTACTCTGTATCTGTTACTCTGTAGATGAGAATCTAGCCATGAGCCCTCAAAACTCCCTAAACACAACCTTGACTGTGGTAATCTACAGGCTGCCTGATTCGTTTCACTAGATTCCTTCCTGAGGACTCTATAGCCAACCATGGTAACTAAATAACAGCTGGCATTAAGGAGGAGCACTTGCCAAACTCAACAACTGGGATGCTTCTCATTGTTTATTGAGATGCCTTAGCTTATGAAAATAGGTTCCCATTTTTAACACGATGGAAAGAATATAGAAAATAACTCTGTAGACTGCCAAGAGAAAACAGGTCCTGTTTAATATGAACCTAGAGATGCATTTTTAAAGCTACAAAAGAAGTCTACTATGCTATCTGGCCACTTGAAAAAAAAAAACCACTCTTATGTACTTCGGCTCAGAGGCAGAGTCAGTGAAATAGTAAAGGAATCCTTTAATTACCATTTTAGAAGATATTCTTACTTTATTCCCCCTGAAACATGAAAAGTGGCTCCCTTTAAATGCAAGGGAAAGGGGGGGCAAAAAGAAAAATCAAGGCAGCTTCACAAGGCAGAATCCAGCTTCACCAAGAATCAGAGAAGGTTTGCTGCAACATGGGGTCAAGCTCCCCACGCTTTCAATGATTTCTCTTGTCCTCTTCCCCCTTTTAGGAAGGGTTCCGGTAACCCCAGTGACATCGTCTGGGGGAATCACACGCATGCTGAGGAAGCAGACAGCAGCTTCACCTTAGGAAGGCAAGTCAAAGCGAGGAGCATAATGAATCTTAGTTGGTACAGCAAACACCATAGCACTGATCTACTCCCTCCATGGATTGCTGGGGGGCACAGGGTAAGCATTTGAGTTGTATATTTCTTCAAAAAGCTGCTATGCCCCGCTATCTCCTTTTCCTGTGTTCATCAAATTTCCCACATTTTTGCTTTGTGGTTCTTTGATGATACTCTTTGCCCAGCACATCTTTGCTCTGCTTGTCCCTCATGTGCAGAGAGTTCTTCCGTATGCCCCCCATCCCAATTTTGCTCCACTTCAGCTCCCTTTGGAGTGGCAAAAGTCAGAAATATGCATGTAGAGCAGATGTTTTGACTTACAGTCCAGCAAGAGACTACGCTATGGTTGCTCTTCTGTCTTGCTAAAAAAGTCACACCCAAAAAGCCACTGTTGTGGTGAGTAGACGGCAGTGAGGGGACAGAGCAATCAAAGAGCCAGAGAAGCTGGATAGTTCCCAGTAAGTCAACCTAACTGTATACTTTCGTTTAATTTTAAGGGAGTTCATTATTGTAAATATTGAACGAGTACCTAATCCAGTCCAATTCTAGGAATATTGGCTATGTTGCTTACTGGCCTACAGAAATATATTGTTATTACTTGCCACTGATATTCTCTCCAGGGTGGAATATATGTATTAATTCAATTGTTAACATTACATCATGAGGGAGACCTGAACTGTAAGTCTGGTTCTAGTTCAACTTTTTTTTTTTTTTTTAATTTGCTGGAAGATATGGAAAACAAAACAAAACTCCAAACAAATGACAAAGCCATACATGAGAAAACTCACTAGCCTACAACAAAGCTGTCATGGAAGAGATCTCTCATTATGTCATGAGCCAAGCAAAATTTCTACTTCTTGGTACTGTAACGACAGAACTACAGGCAAATGTTTATAGATTGCAAATACATTTGAGAATCAGATTGCTCCCTCTATTCCTTCACCTAGAAAACATTCCTGTTGCAGCTGTATTTCTATACACTTGTCTTGTATTTTCATCAACACACACTCATGGCAAGCCTAATGCCAAAAAAACAATGCTAACACAAGAGGAAGGCTCAGATGTTTATTACCCAAAACCCAGAAAAGTCACGTATGGTTCCTGCAGCACTTCACTCTAAGATCTTTGATTATTTATTGCTTTCTGTGTGGCAGATCAAAATGCCTTGCATTTACCTCCAGAAAGTTCCTATACACAGGAGATAGCAATAAAGCAAGCACAAGCATACTTATTTAACCTTGAAGTGAGCACAGCAGTCCAGATCCTATCAACAACATTTTTATGCTGCTTCTTCCATAACACAGTTATGAGACCAGTTTGCTATTTTCCCTATTTTATCCAATAGCATGTAAAACTTAATCCCCTCAGCAGAGCAAGACTGTAGCATTCAAGGTCCCATAAGGTCTTTCAGACTGGGAGTCCAGCGCTGGAGAAGGCTGGAGCAGTCAGTGCTGTCACTGCTCCAGATCCCTGACCATCCTCCTGCTCAGATCAGCTCTGCCAATCTATGCAGATACAAGCTCTTCTGATTTTAACTGGAACTCTAACACTGCCTGTGATATTCTAAGGGCCTCGCCTCCCAGAGACCAGGAAATACACTGAATTCTCCTCTCCACTTCCAATTACAAAAAGACCTTCTAACTGCAGAGAAGCCCTTGAAAACTTGAAGCAAGCGTACTGCAGCAGCTTAAAGCAGAAAGCCAAAAAAGGCACAGAGTATAATAATGCTCAAAGAATGTGATTAAGTCAATGTAATGTTTTAGAGGGTTTTGCCGCCTCATCCTCTTCGCTAATTCTAAAGGCAAACTATATTAAGATTGCTAAGTTCTTCAGAATTTGAGGTAAGGAAGAAGCCTTGAGCCAGAGAAGACGAGAGACAAATTGAGAGAAGCCAAAAATAAAAAAGGAAAGTTTGTATTTGCATGACGTCCTCTTTCACCTTGCCCGAAAGCTGTCTGCAAGCTCTTCAGTAAGAGGGTCATTGATGCTCTGAGATCTTAAAACTTCACTTTGACTACAAACAACTATCTAGGATTTAAAGTAAAATAACATTCCTTACACATTTTCAGATAAGACTCCTTACAGTTTTACTATACATTTGCATCTTCTCAGAAGATGGAAGGTGCCAAAGGTTACTTTGTAGTTTCCATACAAGTGTTCTTCCCCTCCTTTTTCCACTCCTCTCAGAGAGATTACTTGGCAATTGATGTTATAAATGGAAGAAGTCTAGTCATCTTAGTATAGTCCATTATGAATGTTTCTGCATGTGACAAGACCCTCTATCATCAGCCCCAGAAATAGCAAAGGCCACTGAGAACTGAAACCGCTAAAACGCTGCAGATTAAGGACCATTAACAGGTTGTTGTACTCTGCAAACGCCAAATAGCAGGTACCACCATCATGCCTGGCATTAGGCAAGGTTCCCAGTTCCTCCCATTCTTGATCTACCAATCCACAGAGGTGTTTTGAACAGTAACACCTCTCTACTGACAGTCTATCTGGATACTGCATGCAGCTATGGTGAACACAGACATTTCCCCTTACAGAGCTAAATCTCAAAAGGTTCAGAGCGTCCTGGCCAAATTCACCAAGGCGAGGTACGCATGTATTTCAACTTAAGCACATCAGTCCTAGCAAAGACAACAGGACCGCTGTGGTGCTTAAAATTAAGTACATATTTGAGAGGCTGACTAGGCCAAACTGAAACAAGCGGTACGCTAAGGGATCAGTCCTGAATAATTTCATCATGTTCACAGAGAGAGATGCATTAAGAGTTTAGTACACTTGTACTCGCTCACTATTCATTCTTAGGTCATTAAAAACATACAGCTTATTTCATTCTGAATTCTACGTTTCTTGGTAAGAAACATTTTCACCTTTCAAAAAAACCAAAAGTATTCTATTGTACTGTTTCTGTAAGAAGCTATTCACATTGTAACAGCTATCAGACAGAATACCAATAGCACTGCCATATCTGAAGGAAAAAAATAAAAACTTTTAGGAGTGTAATAAATAGATGACGAAAGATTGCAGCATAGGATTACATACAAATAATCTTAACGGATATATTTCCCTTTTTGTCTTTAAAAAAAATATGTTCTGTGTTCAGAAGCAGAAAGGAGCTTTTTAATTAATTTAACGCTTTTTTGTTACAAGTAATGGAATTATTTATAAGCAGAAGACATGCAGAAAGAATGTATGTGGGTGTTCAGAGAGAAAACTTCCCCCCTGCTTAAGGCCCTACAAACAGTTTCAGAAATGCAACAGAAATAGGGGGAAAAAAAATACATACATATGTATGTATGTATGTATGTATGTACACACGGGGGCTCTTCTTAACATTTCCCATAACCGTTCATTGAAGTTCCATTTAGTAAAAGTGGTACCACTAATAAGGAAGAAATAGCATTTCCTGTCCTGCAGCTGACTGTTTCTGGCTATCTAGGGAAGATTTTGCAAACATGTGGATTCTTTGTACTTTGCAAAAGCCTTTCAGAAGACTCGACAGGGAAATGCTAGATATTCCTTTGTCCCATTATTACTACAAATTCATTTTTAGCTTACCATAGATTCACTGATTAAGAGAAGAAGAAGAGCCTCTTCTACGTTGTCTTGAGGGCAGTACAGGCTGAAAGACAGAACATGTTTTTTGAAGGTCAAGAATTATCCTATCAGACTCTTTTTCATTTCACAGCAGCAGCAGTAACTTGAAACATCTCATGCATGATTCATTCGCTAGGCAATAGCTTCTTTTGCAGGTTCACACAATTAAAAGCTCTGCAACATATCCTAGATGAGCTGTTCTGAACCATAAATGGATTATTTCCATTTCACAGCAAAGACAGCTATTTGGTTGGATTTTCTTCCTTCCTGTGGGGGGGGGGGGGGGGGAAACAAAAAACAAAAAACAAAACAAACACTCCAGGTTTAATGTTTTATTTTTGTGGTAGGCCTTTTGATGAGAAGTTAAAAGGAAAACAAAACAACTACATGAATCAGTGACATAATCAGCAGTATCAAAGAGTGTTCAAATACACTTCCTCCTGCCAACAAACCAAAATAAAAAAGAACACATACTTATCTCCTGTGTATAGCTGGGGCCTCCGACAAAGAAGATTGCTAACATAAGACTGATCTTCCTTGTTCATGAACTCAGGAAGAGGATCAGATAAAGGGCTCCAGTAACAGTCTTCGCTTAAGGAATGGAGAAGCACTTGGGCTAGCTGCTTGGCTGCAGTCTAAAGATCAGTAAACAACACAGGAAAAAAAGATATCATTGAAGCCTTCTCACACATGTGATCGACCCCTCCCCACTTCACACCTTGGGAAGCAGATGTGCCAACAACAGTACAGAACCACTCTTCAGAGAGACGGAATAGCTAAAACTGCTGATAAAAATAAAAAATAAAAGTCAACAGCACTCACAGTTGCTTCCCCCCTCTGGAAAGGCCAGCCTTCTGCATTTACATAGTCTTACTGAGATGTAGTAGGGAAAAAAAATACATATATACAACACACACACACACACATTTATCAATACGAAAAAGGCCTGAGAGCAGGGGACACAGTAGCAAACGCAGACAAGTGATCACTACATGGACAGCTGAAGCTATTGCACAAAGGTTACTACATTAGAGTATGATGGCACTCTGTTACTTTCTCAGGATCAGAGTTTTGCATGCAAGTCTCAGTCCAGAGGCTACTTTTTAAATCTTCGGCTTAAAAGACCAACCATCTAGCTGTGAGCGTCTCTCTTCCTGCAGTCTTTTATAGTTTCATCTCAGCATTGCTTCTCTTCTCTTTTTACTGCAAGAACGGATGAACAAGAGGGTGAGAAGCCTTACGCCCCTTCTTGGTCAATGAGCGGCCAAGGGTCCTTGAATACCTGCTTTCCAGCTCATATCCATAACGTAAAGCTGGCAAGCTTGGCCCAAAGGAGGCAAGTTAACTTGCCTCTGTGAAACTATCTTTGGCACTTGTCCTTGTTTAGGCACAATGAGTAGACACGCATGCAAATGTACACAGAGAACTCACATGGACGGTACCTTCTGGGAATTCTGAAACGCACACCACTCTACCGTAAACTAAATATAGCACAGAACAGAGGTAAGCAAACTTTCTGTCCTAATACTTACTATTTCTGAACTCCCCTTTTGACCACTCTACTTTATTCACAATTTACACTTGGAGAACTATATACACCCACTGCAAGAAAAACTACACATAAAAGATGTGGCATGAGGCCACTAGAAGTGACTTTTCTTTTAAAACCAGGGTAGGTATGATGGATAAACTCGGGACATCACTTGAGGTGTGACATCTATAGGACCAACTAAATCATACTGAGGTTAAAGAAAGTTCCTGTTAGTAGATTCAGAAATAATAACTACTGCTGATGCAAACTATTTTCATCTACCTCTTCATACAGGAGGTCACCGAGTTAGTATAAAATGCAACTACAGTAGCGTGCGTTGTTTCTTAAATACCAGAAAGTGAAGTTTCATTGATGCACCTAGCAAATGGCAAACTGTTTTAAATGTCTGGTGGTGCCTCAAAGAAATAGTCTAACACACAAGTCCCTGGAAACCTCAATACCCCCGTATACTCCTACGGACAAGTTACAGAAAGTCTTCTGTTTTTAACTACGCTTTTCTATGCTTTTTATAGCAAGTAACCATGAACAAAACGGCCTTGGGCACTGCAACATTAGCCAATATCATTTTAGCATCTCAGTGTGTAATTATTGAGTCAGTTTTACCCTGAGGAGCCAACTCTTCTATTTCTTTTTCAACAGCCTTGGAGAGAAGGGGAAAAAAGTGCCAGTAATAGAAAGATCTCTACTGGTTTGCACAGAATTAAGAGTACAATTTGGGATCAGCCTTTCAAGACAGCCACCAAATAGTTTTAGTGCCTTTGACTTTAACATACATTTTAACATGGTAGCTCTGTAAATTAGCTTCACTCTTGTTCTGAATAAGACTGAACAAACCAGGATAGGCCAAGACTCCAATTTATGTTATTACTGCCTTTGGCTAAAAAAAGGCATCATTATGCTTGGAGTACACTGTGATCCTACAAACGAGAAAAAAAAAATTGTGTTTCACTTTCATGCTTGAAAAACTTGTTTAATTAAGCACATTCCTCCCTTTGCCCTCTTGACAGCTCTTTAAAAATAAATAAGTAAATGAAAATACAACTTTCAGTAAAATGGAAATGCCAGGAAAAGCTATTGGATGCACACGTCCAAATTTCCCCTTAGGGGTCAATCCCCCCAGGGGTGTTGCACAGCTCTCCCTAACAGCACAGGAGCATTCGTGTGCCACTTCTGTCATGGTACAGGAATAGCAGATGGTTACACTCATTTCAGCACAATAAAACAGGCGAGCAAGAAATTCCCCTGGGCCTCGATCTTGATCTGGAAGAGGACGTGACTAAGTGTGACAGTTATTTAAGTTACCTTTTCTAATTCCCTGCACAAGCTTCCACATGCATCTGCATATAAGGTGATCTCAAAGCAACAAGAAAAATCACCTTCAGCACAGAAGTCCCAACAAAATACAGTAAAGTGAGAGGTGTGAAAAACCAGGCAAAAAAAAACCCACCCAACATACCTTTTCTGTTTGCTCACTCATTTTAGCCCCGGATTTGCATATGAGCTAGACACACACAGGTCCGTCCATCCACTGGAACGGCATTCTCCATCTCCAAAATGCTATGCATAACCATGCCTACCTCCTTCTCAGAGCTTCTCTGGGACTACATAAGCCACAAACAAAGCTGAACCAAGCACAAAAGTTGATATACGAATATCAATGCTTTTCAGGTTGCAAAGTTTCCATTTACGTTCTTAAGACGGTGCATTCTCTGCACTGCTGATTTTGTCACATGAGTAGCTTCAGGACAAGATCTCTTTAATGGATCTTCCCTGTCTCCTCTTTAAGGTCTAAGCAGTTAAATAGGCAGAGAAATAACTTTCTCCATGACTTCTTTGCCGCAAGCACTCAGAACAACAGGATGTAGAATGCTAAAGCCCTCCACCCTCCCCACCCCAAAAAAGAAAAAAAAAAAATTCTGTACTGCACTGTATTGAAGGGACTTTTACAGGAGAACGCTGAAGCACTTCAGTTGAAATAAAACATGCAGTTTGTTGCAAGAGACAGAAGTGCTTAGTGCTGCTACATGCTAATATGAAAAGGTGTGCATGCATGAGAGAAAAAAGATATTATCACCTGGAGACAGCAATGACAGATTGAATACACCCCCCCCCCCCTTCCTACCACGGCTAGAAAACATACTGGAAAAAAAACAACAACGCTTTCAACAGAAAGTGACCCACACGTCCAGGTCTGAAGGCTCAGAGGTTTCAATTGGACAGCTCTTTGAATTAGGTGCATCCCTATGCACTTCACTCCCAGGAGACTAACACATGCATCAGTCAAGGGAGGAAAAATAAATTTGTGTCCTACTGCAACGATTAAGAAACAGAGAGAACTCCTGTATAGCTGATTACACCACCTTCCCATCTCCCATTCCTCTTACCATTTTGAAGGTCTGAGTAGCTTTTGTTTCCACAGTCCGTAATACTTCTCGCAGGCTCCTCATTCCTTTCACAATATTTCTAAGGGGAAGGCACAAAAACAAAAGAATTAAAGAAAGCACATTTGAGACAAAACATTTTTATGATGAGCCAAAGCTGGACAACAAACTTGACATTCAAATAAACCAACAAAACATAATCACCCCAATACTGGGTATGCAGCAGCAAGACAAGTCACTCAGAGGCACTGATAGGACAATGGCACCGAGTGAGGCAGCGACTGTAGCATGCCTACTCCAGATGGCTTCCTAGGAGAAGATTACATTCACATTTGAGGAACAGAGGGGACATTTGGAAGCCTTTCATAGTTCATATTTATAAAGCAGATGCTTCTTCTTAAAAGCATCCACTTCTGCTCTTCATACATACAGACTGTACTTGTTTGACTTATCCTGAGCTCATGCGATGCTTTTAAGTGACAATTCCTTTTAGGTGGTGCTTAAATGCTTTGTGCCTGGTGGTCCAGACACATGATGAAATTACAGCACTTTAAGTAGTTTACTATCAGCCAGCTGAGTTGTAGTAACTGTCTGCAAGTACAGCTTAACCTGCAATGAAAAAGGGTTAAGCTAAAAAGCACATTAATTTGCATACCCCATGAGCGGTTAAAAGCAGCCTAGTTGTCAAATGGTATCTGAATCGTATGCCTGAGCACTAAAAGAGGTGAGGACAGGAAAAATTAAACACTGAACAGACTGGGTAACACACTTGCAGCCTGTAAGCTCTTCCAGCATAGAAGACCTGGCCCTTAACTAGGGTAGCTATGAAAGGGTTTAGCTCATTTTCACTGATAGCTTGTATTTCTTTGGGCAATTTCCCCCTATCAGAAAAGCTCTGTTGCAGTGAAATGACGACAATCAGATAGGGAGTTGTACTGGTACACTAACTGTCATTTCACCTTATTCCAGGAAGGCTTCCTATATAGGCAAAAATCTAGATTTCATTAAAAAAGCCACAGGCAATGATAAACATTTCCATGAATCTGATTACATTTTGAAAATAATCAGGACAGATTGTGCTCATTCCCACTTTCACGTGTTCTAAACATATTCCAAAGTTAACGGCAAACATTTGAAGAAACAACAAAAAATAACTATTTTTCAGGAAAAACTAAGTTTATAAAGCTTACCATGAGTACTGGCTACATAAAAATGTCATCTTAATACTTATGGTCACCAAGTCACAGAACGCAAACGTGTGTGGCCTTACTTCCAACCAAGACTAGTCACAAAATTATGAACTTTGAATATAGAATTCTCACAATTACTTTAGTCATGGATAATCTACAGACAAACAACAAAAAAGAAAGAAAATCACTGGAGATTTGCCCCTCCAGGGGAGGGGAAAAAAAAAAAAAGTCGCTGTCATTTTTTTCTTCCATTTGATCCTAAGTACTTTAGGTTTATTAAGGATAAAAAGCTCGAGGAAGTTTTTGTAAGTAACTTGGACTTCAATGTTTGAGCACGCTCCAGTTAGAGGACAAAGACCTTAAATGCAGTTTAGGGGATAAAAGACAGATTTTTTTTACCCAACACACGCAATTATGGACCTTAAACTGAGGAAAGCAATTACACATATTAACCACATGGTTATCTTTATGCACATGAGTAGTCACACTGAAGCGACCAGAACTGTTCACACACTCGGAATATTTCAACTTCCACTATCTGGCAATAAAACAAGAAATTTCCCCAAATAAACAAAAATCAGCTCCCCAGTTACTCCCCTCAGTTACTTAAAGATACTGTCATTTCCTATGCTTCCTTGGGCTGCATAAGAGGCTGGAAAGAACAGTTATGCTGTAGTATTGTCCTACAACATTTTCAAAAGCCAAGTATGTTCAGATTGCTTGTGATGGTATTTGTCTTGATAAGGTGTTGATGAATGCCATTCACTAGTGTCAGAAAGAGGATCAGCGGCCATTTGCAAAGTCAATTAATTCCACGTTTCGCACAGTACATAGAGATGAAAAACCTAAAGACACTCTGGCCGGGGTGGGCGGGGGGGGTTGTCCCCTGAGTACTAGTGGATCATTTCAGTTACACTTTCTAGACAAGGCCATAAACTGAGCTAAGCTCCATAGAAGAAACACCTTGCTCTACAAGGAAGGGGAAAGGAAAAGGAGGGAAATAAGACACACTAAACTGAATGAAACAAACAGCAAGTTGCTGCCCTTCCACAACTAGTCAGGGTTGAAATAAGAGCCACATGCCAAATGCCCGGGCACATCTTCAAAGGAAGGTAGCAAGACAAAACTGGCAACCCAGGAGCAGCACCCACCACTCCATACTTCCCAGGCAGGTGCAGACACTGCCATGTTCTCTCAGCCAGCCCCTGCTCCTGGCACTGAGCACCTGGACAGTCCGAAACACGCACAGCATTTGACAAAAAACACGATTCCATAGGGCCGAGGATTTGGTTTGACAGCTTTTTATTTTGAACTTCACGGAACGTTATTGAGCCATGATAGGAGACAGAGCACACCTCCAGCAGCCCGCAAACAAACCTCGCTACGCCCCAGTGTTCCAAGCCAGGAAACCACCTGAGCACACATTCCATTTTGAATTGTTCTGCTCATAACAATAAGGGACTGTTCTTAAGTTAAGGACGCACTTAAAGAGATTTTTGAAAACGTGACCTAAAGATGACGACAAAAAGAAAAGCACAAGAACAGTGGTGGTTTGAACAGAAATAAGCTGTAGGTGAACATATATGACCGTTGGCAACCTGTGCTGAATCCATTTGACCTTGTCTAGATCTGAAACTAAGCAATCTTGAGCCTCCCTAGGACTTGGATAGAGGTCTATGTGGAGATTCCAGGTACAGCAGGTGGAAATCAGGGCATTATAAGCAGAGATTCGACCACAGAAATCAAATGAGTTGAAAGACTCCATATGGCCCTGTTGCACTGCTAAGATGCCAGAGAAAGAAACAAGGAAAAAACAAGAGGAGAAAAAACACTGGGTTTATTAAATAAATCACCTTGATTTTAGCCACAAAGGTGACCAAAAAAGCATTTGAAAAACCATGATAAAATGTGTCTTAGGATTCAATTACAGCCTATTAATAAAGAGGAACAGGGAAAATTGCAGGTGCAAACTGTGACATCAGGGAGCACCTTGGCTTGAGAACCTGTTTTGGTTGTAGAAGTACCCTATTAGTACAGGGTAATTAATTAACAGTCAAAACAGTCATATCACATTTCAGTCATATCATTTGATTAACATTATATTTCTAATTTCAAAATATAGGAAGATAAAGAAACATACTTTTTTTTTTTAAAAAACAAATTACCAGACAAATATTGGCAATGAACCAAAGCAGACCCTAGAAACACAGGTCTGCGGAGACTGGCATGAGGAGATCAAGTTCTTAACCCCTGTTCATTAGCTGTGAAAACAGGTGGCCTCTAACAGATGAAACAGATCATCCTGAGATGACTGCCTGACAAACAGTTTGCAACTCTGCCTCTCCAGAGGAAAGATGTACCTCGACCGCACAGCCAGCAGCAGCATCATTGCCTTTACACAGCTCCCTTTGCATTTCTGCATCTCTATCAACTTTTTAAAAAAAAAAAAATTATGCTCTCTCCTTGAACAGCTGTTCATGTATAGGCACAAAACACATCTAAAGAAGTAGACCTCAGATTGCTATGAATGGTGATACAATACAAGTCAGATAACTGTACCAACATGCATTAGAGTTTCCTGATGGCAGCCTAACAGAAGTGAGGCTCTCAAAAAGACAAAGTTTAGTGCTTATCTAGACCCAGCCAGGAGTAAGACTCGCTCCCAAACTATCAGCTGCATTGTCCCAGATAAGTGCTAGCTTGTGAGGACTGAAGAAGGGATAAATGGCACAGGGAATCTGGCAAAAAAAGACCATGCAGGTTGCTCAGAATAGGAGAATAGTCTGGCAGAGATCATCCTGCCTGCCTGCCTGCCTGGTTCAATAGATTATAAAGTAACACATAAGCAGAGTTGCTCTTTTAAAGCGTCCTTTGAAGCCTGCAAGATTTCAAAACGGAAAGGGAGGATGCTAGCCAACTGACAGGGAGAAGGAAGAGAAAGAAGCAGCATTGCATGAGCTCTCCTTAGTATGCATTTTCATCAGGGGTTTCCAGTGTAAATCAGGTCCCTAACTTGAGAGACCATAAAGAAGCCTGATATCTTTTAAACCTTAATATTTGTTTTTCATAAAGTCAATTTCTTCAGAAGTGTCCCAAGCAGAGCTTCCAAAACTATTTTCTCTGGAAAGCCCTGACTTTTCTCTCCTGCCTGTGAAACACCATACCTACTTCAAATGCCATTAAACAGCAGCAACACAGGTGAATTCTATTTGCCCCAAGAGACTAAGAGCACTTTGACCAAAGCTCCCGTAACAGTATAAGGTAACAACACCTGTTCAATATTCTGCAATGAAAGGCTGCTGCAGATGACCCTAATCTCGAGACATTCACATGGGGGCGGGGGGCAGGAGGAGGTCAACAAACCCACAAACCCAGTGCAGATGCTAACATGAAAGACAGCAGGCTGCTTCCTACAGTAAAGGCAGTATTCACCTGCCTACGTTCTGCACCCACAGCAGCAACACTGCTCACTGAAAGAATAAAAGAAAGCTTTTTTGTGGTGCAGCAGGGCAAACAATCGCAGACTTGCCTTCAGCAACACAGTATTTTTAAGTAAATGTGTATCCACAGCGATGGGGATTTCCACAGTCGCAAGACTTGCTGGTCCTTACCGCTGGCTCCTTAACGTCTGAAGAGAAGGGACCTTTGTTCTGGATGGTTGCATAGGCAGGGGGTGGAGTGCCTTCTTTTCACTGTAAATTTTAAGATGCATTTAAAAACATATCCCCAACCATGCTCTGAAAGGTTGCCAGCAGGCACAAACACAAAGCCAGGAGAGAACACACATCCCTCAGTTCATGTGCCTGACATCAGCTTTCCTAAAAGGAATAAAGCACTCCCAATTTCTCTGTACACACATGCCACCAGAAGGAATATCCCATCTTGTAGGGCCTCCCTCTGTCAGCTTGGGCATTCACCATTGAGGCCCTATTTCCTAACTGAACGTGCTGAAAGCAACAAGGAGAACAAAAGTGTTTCTTTGAGCTGTTTAGTATCAGGCAGAGAAACTCATCATACACACAAAACATCGGACAGCCTCTTCTCCCCTCCCCCCTCACGTCCCTCCTCTTCCCTTAATATATCCCAATGCCACTTATGCCCTCTTGTGGCAGAAACACCTCACTAATACAGGCCAGAGGCACAGAGACAAGCTGCGGATTCCCACTTCATTTACTTCCCCTCCCCACCAGCCCTTTCAGTTTATTGGCTTGGATTTCTGATTTGCACGGGAAGAGGTGGAAGGAGACTGAGACTTTGCACTTGTCATATCCGAGTTGTCTCTACAGCAATAATGAGACAGTCCTTTCATCTGGAGACAAGTTCAGAGAACATTTTGTTGCTATTGCAGCAATTCAGCTTATAATCAAAGCGATGCTTAATTCACACATGTATTTTGATTCCAAATTACTTTCCTGTAGGGTTTTTTTTTCCCCCTCCCCTTCCTCTTTTTTAAAGCCTGACATTAAATTAAGATGGGAAGAGAGCAACCAGTGCCCAGAGTAATAGCTAAAAAAACCCCACTGGATATATTGAGCTGATAAAGGCTCAATGTTAAGGCTTAAAATGTTGCTGAATAAAACGAAAGGGAGAGAGTTTGTTATTCAGAAGGTGCCTAGAGGACTCCAATGCCATATGTTCTAAATGAGATTTTATTTTATTACATAGCTAATGAGCTTACTGGCAAGACCTGAGCCTTTTGTTTGCCATGAAAATGGCAACAGGCTAGTAAAGCACACTTTTGTGATATAGCTGCTCATCAACCCTCATTTCATATGGTAAAACCACATAACCTGTTCCCTATTATTCAGATGATACTGAGATTATGCCTCAAACTTAACTCCATACTATCTTTGTACAGGAACTTGTACTCATTTGACTGACAGGGTCATTTAACAGAGTTCGTGCTTCTTCAGTATGGAGCCTTACTTTGTGTCAGTACCTGACACAACAGGTAACAACAGGACCTGAAAGGACCTTGCACAGACATGCTTACAAGTACAGCTCCATTTTTAAACCTGGCTTAATATGAAAGAATGAGCATCACTAAGCATATTTGAAATTGCATTTAAAAATCACTGCTGGGAAAAAAGCCTCAAACAAAAGCAACCCCCCCCAAACAACAATTGACTCAAAAATGGTATCAGTTTCTACAAAAAGAATTTAAACTGATTTTTGCTGATTTTTTTTCCTCGTTTTCTCCTTTCATTCTCCCCTTTTTTCCCCCCTTTCTTCTCTACTTCACTTTCAGCAGAAAATCTGAATACACAATCAAAATTAAGTATTTTCAAAGAAGGTTTGCTAATAATAAAAAAAGCAAGGGTTGCAACTCTTTGGCCAGTGATACTACATACAGAGGAGTGAAAAAACTCAGCATCTGATTCTCTGAGAAAAAAAATGGGATACTATACTATAAACACAGGACTAAGGAAGGATGGATTCCGATATGTACTATTTTCATATGGTAAAACGGATGTTCTCCCCCCATGACAATCCCTTCATCAGCTAAGCAGAACTGATACTTTTGAAGATATGTTCTGTTTTCAGGGCAGAGGTACCCTCGCCAATGCCATCTGAAAGTGGGCATGTACTAAGCCCTTTTACTGTTCTTGAAAAAGTTTCCCCTCAGCTGAAGTTCACTGTAAGCTTGCAAATACCAATTCCTCTTGCCATTCTAAAGTTCACTGAGACCTGTATTTTACAGTCATAACACCCTGGAGTAGAGCTCTTCCTGGATGCATTCCCTCTAGTAAAGTCACACAGGTTTGAGCTTGATCACAATTTCAGAGGGGGAAAAATAAAAACAGGCAGTAACAAAAAAAGCCCTCAAGAACTTACTGAGCTTTAAACCAGGCCCTCTGGCTGCAACTACTCAAAGCACTCAGCAGTGATTAAATTCTACCCTCTCCTAACTCTGAAGGGGAAACTTCCCTCATCTCCACAGGCAACAGAGCTGAGCCAAAACAGAATTCTTCTCCACCCTGTTTGAGGGTGGAGACAGAGAGAGAAGTAGGAAGGAGGAAAGGACACTGAGGAAACCTGAAGTGAGCTAGCAGGAAAAAAAAAAAACACACACAATACAAATACAAAAAAGTAAGCTTTTATCTATGACAAAACATTAATATTATCTACTTTTTTTGAACATCTGCATCCACCTACCCCTTCTTTAAACGGGCCACATAAGCACTCTGGAGAGCTGCTTCCAGGAAGTAGGACAGTTCAAACTCAGAGTAAGTCACGTTGCTGCCCTTTATATTCCTTGAATGTGTGTTGTTCAAGGTCTGTGAGGGGAGGAAAGAAACCAATGGAATTACAGAATCACTGCTTGAACTAGCCGTTTCCTCACTAGCCAAAGAGGTAACTCAAACAATAAAATGTTAGCTTCCATCATTAGATTCTTCTTTAGACTACCTGATAACTTTTTAATCTTCATTAGCTATTCAAAAACCTTTCAAGGCAACTTCAAAAGAAGCTATACAGTGACTTCCATGACACAACCTGTATGCAATACAAGTTCTGAAACGCCATCCCTTATTGCTTTCCACCTTTATTAAAGTAAATAGAAAGCTAACATTAACATCGAGTGTCTCAGAAGTACAACTCCAACTACATAGACCCAACACCTTGCACACAAGGCATTAGTGCAATTTGTAAGCGTGTTTCACTAACATAACACAGCTTACCAACTCTTACAAATGTTTATAAGGAGCCTTGATGGAAGAATCTGAGCCCTTCATCTGCTTCTCCCATCAAACTTTTCTTGCCTTCGGATTCCTTAGATACTGTGTCTTCCAGTACTAGTAAAAAATAGCTTTCTTTGCTGGAAGTTGCCCTGTACAGACTCTCCAGGACAGGGTTTTTCACTCAGGACCAGAGAGGGATTTTGAGTACATCAGCCAGAAATTCTGCGTCCTTGTCTCTCAGGGTCCAAAAGATGAATGAATTACAGTTCGAACTCTTTTCCTATTTGGCAGAAACAAGCCATCAATAAAAACATTTACAGTGCCCATTTTTGGCAGGAGGTGGTCCTTCTGCAAGTGAAGGACAGCACTTGAAAATTATTCTAAATAAGAGTCATTTAGCTTTTTCTTACAAGGGAACAGACCAAAAACTTGTTAGCTGGCTTTCTTAAAGGATTCTTATACACATATTTAGCTCAGTTTTCTTAGTTTTAATGCAGTTAAAAACAAAACCTGGAACGGACACGCACCTTCGCTGCTGACGACAGCAGAAGTATCTGGTCAGAAGATCACATACAGTTAATTGACAGAACAGTAGGTAACATGCACTACCATCAAGGCTACAGTGTTAAGCACAAAACGTGTGTGGCAGAAGAAAGGCATGGAAGCTTACGGTATGTGAACCCATTAAACATAGCTAGGCAAAGTTACAGAGATGGAGACCATCAAGCATGTACACCCTAGCTAATCAGTGGCACATATTATCTATCACTTTGCGAAGGGCTCACAGCACTCATCTTACTGAGCACCCTAGCCAACCACTGCGTAAGCAACTCCTTGCTAGTGATCTAGGTTCTTCCAGTTTCACCTGGAAAAGCTAAATCATTGGCAGTTAAACTGCTTGGGTTGACCCAAAGAGTTATTTTTAGCTTGTTAGGGATCTCAGTGTCCGCTGTTGTGTATCATTTACACGGCAGATGCGTAAAAAGTCTTGGGTTTCTTCATGGTGGCACTTGCTACATAAAGTTAGTGATCCCTCTTCTGTAAGAGTTAAACCGGAGATAAGACCTGAGCATATCTTAAACATTCAGTGCTTTACCGCAGACAAAACAGGTTTCCACACCTCGTTCTCAGAGGAAACTGGCAGAGACAAGGTAAACAGCTGTTTTACAACTGCTTACACAGGAAAAAAAAACTTAGCCCATAAAACCAGTAAGACATCCAACTCTTGAAGAAATGTTCTAATACTTCTTATTGCCTACGAGCACCTGGCATTGCCCTACCATGCTTGCTGTCAAAATTCCTGGAAGTTCCACTTAGGTCACCAAGTCACACCTCAAGCTCATTTCTTCTTACCTTTTCAAGCTCTTGCAAGTACACTTGGGCAATGACACATGCTGTCTCAAAACAAGCCATGACCTCCTCCTCCCTTTCACACAGTCGAGCACGCGAGGCAACCGAGTTGGTTGAGCGCTCCAGTGACAGACCTGCAAAATAGCAACACCTTCTTACACTGCAGCCCACAAAGAGCAACATGGTTGTTTTCTCCTTTCATTTACCAGCTCACAGAAAAGCTTTTCAGTATGTGGATTTCCCTCTTCTTTTAAGGACTTTCAGAAACCCCAGGAAAATAAAATTCCTACATATGCAAGGCATTTGATGTCATGCTGCTCTAACAAACAGTGACACTGCATACTTCTATAGCCTCTTTTCAAATGCTTTACGAAGAAAGGATATACAATCCTTCTGGTAGCAATAAGTAAGCAGAGAAATTAAGGCATATATTTCCAAAGACAGCTACAGATTTTGGGCGCTACAACACAAACGCCATTCCTGAAATACCTTGGGAATGGGTTTGAGATCCACTATTCCACATGAAGCTTTGAAACTCAGTTTGATATCTTCTAAGTCTGCTCTTAAAGTCAGAAAATCTAAAGCCTCTTTTGGAAAAATCTAAGCACAAGTGAATTGCACATGGACAGGCAGTAAGCTCTCGGCAGGGCACAAGAGACACTCTAGTCAAATTGCGCCCTTTTCCAAAGGAAAGGAAAAAAAAACAGAACTGTTTTTTGTACTATACAAACTCTTTCCTCTATCACCAGCTCCTCTTAAAAAAGAAAGAGCATGTTAATTGGAGACCCACTGCCATTGTACCTACATGAAAACCTTTCATCATCAGATCCTTGTCTGGCATATCTGACAGCCTGCTACCACATTCTTTACATCTCCAAGCCTGTTTGGGGAGGCTACATTTCCACGTACTGATTCTACTCCAGTCTGCACAGGTTCTTAGGCTACAGTGGATCCCCACAGTGCCTGTGGCTTGGAAACCTCCGGCCTTTTAAACCAAAGGGAACTGCACAAACGCCCAGTAGCCCACAAAGGCTGTAAAGAGTTTAGTACATGTTTCCCCAACAGATTCTATATACTAACACTCCCTAAAACTAATGAAAAATGTGCAAAGTGTAACCCCAAATCCTACTGTTCCTGACAGATCCACACATGCGGCAAAAGAAAGATTCCAGCTGTCTAAACCGGCTCTCAAAAAAAGTGATTTAAATTGCTGCCATATAAGCCACAGGTTTCTGCCTCTTTTGAGGAGCAACCACAAGCACCAGGAGCCATGCTGGCCTAAGCCCGCATAATCCTAAGCACCTTAGCACAGCTCACTTCAACAGTCTCATCTCATCACAAACTACTGTGAGGTGGCAAACGGGAGCCAGATCTTCCCATGATGAATGATGTGGTAAGAGCACTCACGCTGGAGGAGCTTGAGGTTCCTAGGCAGTCTTATGTTTGTTGACTTTTCAAGAGTAAGTTTGTTTTGTCCCCTTGGCAACTGTGCTTGGAGTGTCCCTATTTAACATTCTGCGTCCGAGCCAGACGCGAGCACTTATATCAGGTGGGCAGAGAGGGGAAGATGCCCCAGAAGCGCAAAGCACATTCTTCAAGGACTTACCTAGGAGGAACACATGTCAGTACCTAGCACTTTTGAAAATCCTGACCTGGCTGGACAAGGTGTTTCTAATTCCAGGAATTTCTAATCAGACCCCACAATTGAAAATAAATTCAAAAACGTGTCCATTTCAGAGTCACCATCCCTTTAAGTGCAAAGCGGGGCTGAGGACCCGGAAAAACCTCTAGTACAACCCACTGACATTCACACACACACACGCAGCATCTAATCAGACTGCAAGAGCCATCCTGGAACAGTCTGTGTGGGGGTGGTTACTGTGGGAGATTTCACAGAGAGAAGAGCCTGATAAAAAGCCATTTACATACATGCTACAGCCCACTGCAAGGAGCTACTATCTCTAAGCTCTGATACGGGAGAAAAAGTAAACAGCCTTTGCTCGAACTCCCAAGTACTGACAGGAAACACGTCCATCCACTCGGGCAGCAGAACAGAGCTGGGGCTGATCAGAGATGGGGAAATAAGTGGCTCCAAAAAGGTAATACAGACCACTGCCAGCATCATCAACTTTTCCTCCAGCTAAGAGTCTTGCCACAGTAAACATCAAGCAGTATATAATGGATTAAAATACACACTATGCAACATTGCATACGTTTTTCCACTAGTAAAGGGCAAAAAGGGACCCACATAATGCAACACTGGTCATAGTGCTTCCCGCTAACACCATATGCGCTGAGCCAATGCAGTCAGAGTATGAAATCCTCTACAGAGCCCAAACAGTGCCATTTTTCCCTTTCACAGAAATATAACGGGACGGGACATTAGAACAAGCAGACTGCAAATCCAGCAGACAAAGTAAAGAGCAGAAGAGTAACAACAATAAAGAGTTCCCTACTCTTGTTGCCACCAATTCCGTTCCCACCATGCAGAGAGAGTTCCAACAACCACAGATTCGTTTGGCAGACAACGGTCTATCTGGACAAGACGACTCTAGAGCAAAAACTCCGCTAATTCTTCCCTGCCCCCCATCCCCTGGTTACCAGTACAAGAAATATTTTGCACCACAGTATGTGTTTTGAATTCAACTCAGTCCCTAAAAAGCCTCAGAAAAACCACAGAGCACATGATATTGCCACACTGGATTTGGCAAGAGCTAGCTCCAGGTAAAGCATGAAGCCATTCGCTTTTGCTGTAGCTACTTAGGGTAAATACCCGAGTCCCTTGGTAGATACCACAGTCAGTTATGCTAAGATAATACTAATTTACAACTTACCTACATTAAGTTTTTTTTTTGAATTAGATGTCCAATTTATATATGTATATATATATGCACACACACACACACCATAAAAACATTTTATATTGTGAAATGTTTATAGAACATTTCTAGTAGAGTTTGGTCCAGGCTCAAGACTTCATGAGACTTGCTTCCTGATTATATTTTTTAAAAGAATAAACTCTTTCAACCCATTTACTTTGCACCCACTTCAGAGGCAGCAGCTTTCTATGTATAGAATAATGGTTCTCTTTCCCGAATAAAGATAAGGCTTTCATCCATTTCCTCTAGCTCTCCCACAGATTCACGTCTTTCCCTGAATCTCTCTATAATCTTTCTCCCTTCTTCTTCCCTTCTAAAGCTAATCTGCATTTATGCCAGAAAGAAAACCAACAAGGTTTAACGTTGAGGTTTTACTGACTGCACAAATTTCCTCCTGCAGTTGAAATGCACTGCTTTCATTCACAGAAACCTGAAAGGGAACATTTTATGAAGGCATATTTCATCTTTCATCTCACCCAGTCCTCACCAAGGGAGGACAGTATATCACACCTGGCTCTTAATGATCAGGGGTGAAGTTATTACCTGAGCTGGAGCATAGGCTCGCAGATGGACATGCAGTCTTAGATTCTCAGCGACATAGGGCCACAGAAAAACTCAGGTTGGAAGGGATCTCAGGCAGTCTGTAGTCCAACCTCCTGCTCAAAGCAAGGTCAGCTGTGAGGTCAGATCAGGCTGGTCAAGGCTTTACCCAGTCTGGTCTCAAAAGCCTCCAAGTATGGAAGGAGACAGCATAACCACTAAAGAGAACAGCAAACTAAGGTGAGTTATTTCTTTTTCCTCCAATTCATAAACTAGTTCACCAAGTAGCAGCGTTGCTGCTTCCGAGTCAGAGAGAGATACTAATCTATCCACAGGTTCTTTTCATTTTCCTGTCAACAGACTCCTAGCTTCACATTTGTGGCTGTATTTACATAATAGCAGGGAAATGGTGCATTTATAGCTGCAAGAAGTCAGAGTCAGCAGCAGCACACTACTTTAAACCCCTTTCACCTACAGTGTTAGCCTGTAGCTGCTATATGCCCCTCTCCCCAGCACAGAAGCAGAGGTATCCGGCAATCTAAGGAAGGAATCCAAGAAACTCCATAGCACACAGCGTGAAGCCTGCGTGCTGCATCCTGGTGTTATGCCCATGTCAAACACAGCCACGGGAACTCAAAGTGAAAGACAGCTCAGGGTGGAACCTGCTGTCCTGTCAACAGCATCAGCCCCAGGCTACAGAGCAGGGTTACGATGCCCGCGCTCACGTGCGGCACAGACAGGTTATTCTGGCCAGCAGACAGAATGATGCTACATTGAGAGTATGCAATAGTTTTATTCAAGCTACAGGAGCGTAAATTTATCTCGAGTAAACCAGGGTGTGAATAAATTGCATGACAACCACTGCACAGAAACTGGTTATGATAGTGTTCTCACCCGGCAGTGAGCATCAGGTCATTCAAGGTAGCTATCCCCAGTGGAAGGGTATGTTTCATTTCCAGTACATGGCCTGCAGCCTACTTCAGAAATGCAGTTCTAGGAAGTCAGTTAGCATTGAAACAAGACGATTTTTAAGACAAGCTCTGCAAACTAATACATATATTAATTTACACTTAATGACTCAAAGCTCAACAGAACACTAAACATTTAACTTTCTCCAAGACCACAGAATTCAAAGGCACAACCAAACCACTTCCATTTTACAAGTGGTGCTAAGTTTATATCTTGGACACTGTTGGCAGTCTTAAGAGCATAGCACTCAAACAACCTATTAGGTTATGGAGTCTTAGAAAGCAAAACATCTGAACTTCAACAAGCCAAAGCAGCAGTCTGGATTAGTTCAGCACAGACAAGACCCAGCACTGTGTATTACTCCTGCTACAATTCACAGCAGCTTAAATAATTCACATCATTGGCGTTGATACTCCTCTCCCCAGCTACCGGGCAGAGTTTTTAGCACCATTTATTTGCAACGCTAGTAGAAGGGAGGGGAGGGGTAAGGCCTAGAATCCCTAGATTTTGAGGGCATCTAATCATTCATATTGTACCTTTTGGAAGAGAAAAGGGAAGAGAAAGAAAAGTTTTGTTTTGCAAGAGAAGGTCACACGACTATCTTTCATCATTGCCTCTGTAGCAACAGTCCTTCATAATCACAACAGCCCTACAGAATCACAACATGATAACCTTGGGGTATCTTTCATCTAAAAGTCCCAAAGGTGGAAAGGCAGAAAACTCCAGTAACCCAAACTAACACTCTT